AAAGGGATACGCTCCACCGTCCAAATGCTGCGAAGTAAGCTAGTAATTGAATCAACAAGAAAATCACCGCCAACCTTGAAAAGAATAGGGAGAAGCCCATCAGGTCCCGCAGCCTTCCCTTTCTTTATGATTGAATGCAGCTTAGTACTTCCGATTCTGATGGGGGACCGCATGTTACCACCCATGGGGTTTTCGCCGCAATTGCGTGAACGACCACATTAGCACTGGGCCAATTGAACTGTTCACTAAAATACTCTGCCCAGCGATCAAGTCGTTGTTCTTTATTGTGGATATACTTTTATCGCAAATGATCTCACTAATCGGTGTGCGACGACCTCCGGTGCTGCGTATCAGGTGAAATAGTCTTTGACTATTCCCTGATGCAGAAGCTACCTCCATTTCACTAGCTATTTCGGCCCACCAGTTTTCGTAATTTTTATTAAGGCTATTTCTGAGTTGACGTTGCAGACGACACCGGTCCTTATGCTGATCCTGGCAGATTGGGATCTTTCGCTTTTGATCCATTAGGATTACTGACTCCTGAGAGATTCAATGCCTTCGGGGAACTTCGGGCTCAATTCCAAAAGCAAATTTTGCAGCCGAGTGCATCGCAAATCTAATCTGATCCCACTGTTGGTCTACTCCACATTGTCGTGGTTCTCCTAGCTACTGTCCCAGCTTCTCCTCATAACGTGCGCAGACAGATGGATCGCGCAGACGATGATGAGCTAACTGAAGAGGCGATTTCTGCCGATGAGTCGAAGAGTGAAGCGTAACAGAACTAGTGTTGGTGTTGGTGAACTAGTGCATAGTCTGACTCATTGCAGATGGTCCAATAGGCTCTGTGCTCTTGTACTGGCCCGCGCCAACGGTAGCTTACAGCTGTGCTCAATTTGGGTCAATCTTCCCGTTGAACTAGAACATCATGTAGCCGTTCGACGAGAGCTGTGTCAAAAGTTGGTGCTACATAAGAATGACCGATGATCCAAGCGTATTATGCACGTTTCAAAATAAATCACCGAAATACAAAAGACATTTTAGCAGTCTCATGATTACCGCTTTAAACCTCAAGCAGAACTACAAAAGTGATACGGGGCATACAATACACGTTAGCTATTCTGTGATATCAGTGAATTGAAAATAAAAGTGTGTACCGCGGAAGGCAAAGTGAACGCAAACATTGGGAAGCACTGTATGACTGTTTCAACCTAGTAGAGTCCCATCAATATATTGAATTGGTCATTCGTTCTGGGTAAAACCTGGTCCCTCGCAGATAGAACGCAATCACGCTACCCACTTGATAACTAATAATACCCGTTCAACATCATCATCATCATCGTACAGCGAAATACTGTGAGGCGAACTTCAATGACCGCTGTCAAACGTGCAATGGATACACGGTTAGTGGTAAATTTTAAGGTGGACAGGGATTCGATCTATTTTGAGGGAGGGAGAAGAAGGTGAGCCACTATGGTTAACACACAGAGTACTCAATCGAACTCTGTATACATACATTTCAAGCACTCTGACCTGAAGGGAAACGACAACAAGAACGCCACTGCTGTCGGTTCGCTGCCATATCCTCCAATGTCTACAATAAACCAGTTATGGAGTCTTTCGGACCCCAACCTCGAAGGCGAGAGACACCTACTCTACCTAATGGCTCTGTGCATTTCTTCATGAATCGTCTCCACGTCATTTGTTGACCTCCACGTGGTTTTCTCCAGCCCGGATTAGCCACAGCAAATAAAGCGCGGCGCGGCAGACGATGGCTGGGCATACGCAATACGTGCCCTAGTCAGCGAAGCCTAGCAGTGTGAAATCGGTGTGCTAGTAGGTTTATACCTGATAGACTCCCAAACACACGAGGACTTACCTCCACATTACTAACCCGCTCGCTCCATCCCAAACTGACTAGACTACTCAAACACCGATAATCGAAAACTTCTTGTCGACAGATATCTTCTACTCGCAGATTAAAGGTCTCACAACTATAAAGCGGGACCGAAAGAAAGGTGGCACAATATACACAACCTTTCAACTTCAGTGAAACGTCGCGTCTACGCCAAAGGTGTTTCAAACCTGCGTACGCTGCTCGAGCCTTGGAAATGCGGGCGGTTATTTCCTTTACTGCACTACCGTCATTGGTCACGCAACTACCTAAGTAGGAAAAGTAATCCACCACAACTAAATCTTGTTCATTTAGTGTCAGAGTGGGAGTAGACGAAACCCAGTCCTGCAGCAGCACTTGGCACTTTGAAGGTG